GTCTTTTCGCCGTTATTGAGCGAGAAACTAATAGGTCCGAACCTGTCAAAAAATGCAAACCTGTTCCAAAAGATTACAACAGAAAATTGCAAGAATTATAGCTTCACCCAAATGCAATCTCAATTTACTCAAAGCACAATTAAGTCTACTTAGTTAAACATTCAAAGATATGCAAAGCTAAGATATTTTGAGTACAGATCGGTAAGTACGGAGGTACCTAAAGAAGCTTAGATCAAACTACGTTTTTCTAAGTTTCTTTATCATAAGTGCGAAGATAAAGCAAAGAAGAACAAATTAGCAACCGCGCAATAACATCTAATTACCCTTATCTTCAATAAGTTGTTTCAATGGACAAAATTTCAAACATTCAAGAACAGAAATATCTTACCGCGAGCAGACCACATTTCTCCAGCTCTTTCACAGTTTCAGTTCGTTGCGATTCACAAATGGTCTCTAAAGCTCGTTCAATGTAATCCTTCTGTTCCTTTTGACATCCTTTCACTAGTTCTATGAGATTTTGCTTTTCATTAAGCAAAAATATAAATCTGCAAATATGAGTGATGTGCAATTATGAGCATATTTAAAGCACTAAGCCTTACCGTTCCAGCTCCAAAATAGACATGATAGTCGCAATCTTCTGGTCTTTTGGAGTTCTAACCAAGATTGTGTGATAGAAATCAACACCCGATTGTTGAGCCTGAGTACGCAATCGCAGAAGGCGTCTAGAATTCAGAACTAGGTTGTTGATCTAGAAAAAAATTACGTTTTTAGGTTCTAGGTATCACGTTATTCTAAAATCATTTTTTATTAATTTCATAGCCAAAGAAAATATTTCAAAACCGTTATGATCAATATGGAATAAAAACAATGCTAATAATCGTACACATTTTATATTTCCAACATATAAACACGCGATGTTTTGACCTAAGAACTATATTATAGGTAAGCTAACAACTCACCTCAAAGGGTAATCACACAAACTCATTGCTACATCCATAATCAGCTCGGTGGTTAACACTTTTCCTACGGCTTCCACAAGAGAAGGAACTCTGAATAAATCAAAGTTATTTAGT